TGGGGCATGCTAAGATCATTTAATTAACAAGTGTGATCTATGCATATCCTGGATGTTAATTATTGAAATACTAAATACTTTTATGCAATGCATGGATTTAAGCTTGGAACTTTAGTTGCGGTAATTTTAAGCATTACACTGCAATTATTTGGATTAGAGTTTGGACTTCAATTGGACGTTGGCTTGGAATTAATTGAAGAATTAAATATATTTTCTGTCAATTACCTGGATGGATGCTGGATTATAACATGACGAATTAGTAAACTTTGTCTCGTTTAATTACATGGATGGATTCTGGATATTTAGTTGATGACTTGTTTAAATTCTGTGTTTATCAACTATATGGATAATGTGGACTTTATTTGATGTACTGCTTATAATGATGCATCATTTACGGATCATATGCATGGTATGTACCGGTATGGGACGGTGACATACGGAGGGACGGATTAGATCAAAACACTAATTCCAATCCATTCATACATACGGAATGGATTAACTAAAACAGTTAAATCCTACATGGTTTCATGTCCTGTCAACTAAAACAGTTGAACGACATATTGGATGGTTGTTTATATTTCTGGTTAGGATGGATAGGGTTTTAACTAAAACGTTTAAATCCTGATTATATGTTGTGTCTTGACCAATGAACTATTGACCGGCACAACATCGTATTTGGAAGGAACTTATATATATAATTGGAGTAGGGATTTAATTAAAACATTTAAATCCTAATTTTATGTCGTGTCATGGCAACGAATCAGTTGAGCGGCACTACATTGGTTTGGATAGGAATTTATATATATAAATTATGGTACCGCGATTTGAGCTTGAGTCTCATAGTCGACGGTTAGGGTGCGTATATGCAGTAGGATGCGTAGCTAGTTATGTTGGTTGAGGTATACCCTGTTAGGCTTAGGTAGTTATGCCCACTCAGGTGCGTATTGCATGTTACCTTCTATTCAGGTTGAGACCCTCAGTATAGTTAGTGAGAGTCCTGTAGTGTGGATATATATTTATCTATTACGGACTATATAGATATGGTTGAGATGTCTAGGATGTATCTACGTATCGGGTCTCTGTTTGGATTGTAGTTAGGATAGAACTTGTTCATGGGCCTGACCCACTATTATTTTTCAGGTAATGGACGGTTCCAGGTCGTAGAGTTTGTTCGTGCTGAGCAGAGATGACTACTCATTCTACCGACGATGTAGGAGGTTCTCCATGGTTTAGCAGTGGACTTCTTTTTAGTTGTTCGCTTTCCAGTATTGACTTTTGATTAGGGGTCCACCAGATGAATTCTTGAGTTGTTTTATAATTAGAGAAGTTGGATGTAACAGACTAGTTTTTATTTTTTTTAATAAAGGATTTTCATTTAGTTTCTTTCCAGCGAATTTTATTTACTCATGTTTATCTTAATTATATTCTGTGTTCGATTATTGCTAATTGATTTGATATCCTCGGGTTATCGGGCGTGGGCCTGGCCAACCCGCATCCGGAAATCCGGGGGTATCACAGATGACAAAAGTCCTTGCCAGGACCAACATAAAAAGAAAGAAGATCAAAACTTCTATCGCAACAGAATAGAATACGCACTTATCGGTACTTTGCACACGATATGCCAAGAAGGAGGAACTATACGGAGATTAAACAACTCTATCTGTAACTCATACACCTAACATCCGTACGAATAAGAGGAGAGTGCCCCTTCCCAAAGCACTAGGGCTAAACGACGAATTCTAAGACCCGCGTCTCATCGTACCCGAAGAAGAACCTTAATAGGTGAAATTCTAAACTTTCCATTCGTAGAAATAACTAGGTAGTGCTAACCACTACATCAATAACCTTTAAAGTAATATGGTTAAAAGTTCTTTTGTCATTAATCTATCAATAAAATCAACACATAAAATCTCAACTGCTTTCATCTATCTTTCTCGGCTCACACTCTGCCTCCTCTCTTTGTTTTCCAACTTTGCTCTTTTTCTTTCAATATCCATCAGTGCACAAAACACACACTGAAATAGACAATTCCACTGACTTCACAAAAGAACCAGCCAACAAACCCATGTGAACCCACTACTTTCCTTCCTAATCTTACATCATTTTAGTACCAACCTACTCCTCCTTTCTTTTCTTCTCAGCCGTCCACCTTACTCCCTTATCACGTCTACACTGACAAAACCCACGTGAAAAAAATTAACCTAAAACCAAAACAATTTTTCAGCCAAACAATCCAAGTGGGTCCCACTCAAAACACCAATTTTTCCTTCCTTCCTTTTCTAATCTCGGCTACAGCTCCATTGCCTATCTATTCAGCAGACAAAACAATATATATATATATAACAAAACAAAAAAAACAAATCCCATTAAATCACTTTTTAATGGACCCCACGAAAAGCATCATTACTTCTTTTTTACACCATTCTACTTCCTTCCACCATCAAATTGTTATATATATAATTAATATATATATATAATTGCATAAAAAGCTAAACCCACTAACATCTTTCAAGTGAGACCCGCAATGCAATACAACTTTCCATTTCACAATTTCCCTTCACTTATTCCTTCGGCTGCTCTATCAAACATACACAAAATATATATAAAATATTAAAACTAAACCTCCACTAACTTAATAAAATAAATAATTAAATAAAATAATTTTATTAAAATCAACACTAAAAAATAAAATATTAATAACTCAAAATCACTAAAAATTAACTAATCAATCTTGATTAAAAATCATAAAATTTAAAACCTTAAAAAAATTTGGGTTATCACAATCTCCACCACTTAAAAAGAATTTCGTCCCCGAAATTCAGATCCAACAGTCCACGTATACCCAAAAACATCAATAACCACAAAACCAATCCACAAATCCCTACCCTGGGCGATGTGAGATATAGTGATATGTAAAACGTTGTTGTAGCTACCAGTACTAGTCACCCACCCACACACTCCGTAACTATTGTGATAGCTAGTCAATGCATCACCCGCCCACTAAAAAAAACAAACACTAACAAACCCGGGCTACCTGCCCAACCACACTAACCAACCATCCCAGTAGCTGCCGGTGAACGCCATCCGCCCACACACACCCGGCTACGAGTGGTAGCTAACCAGTACTACACACTCGCCCACTCACACTCGTCTATATCATCACTACACTCACACTTTCGGCTGGGTACAGCTCTGATACCATTTTTGTAACGACCCGAACCCAAGGGTCCGAACCGTATCTGGGTCCTTACTCGAACCCGAGGTCATCTACTATCACTACAGTCATTCCCACTTCTAAACTACAAGCGAACACATCATACCAAATCTGAAAACTAAAATACAGATTCTAAGTTTCTAAAGTCCTGTAATTTCTGTTGAGGTTGAATTTCGCCGCGGTCTACTACAACACCGTTTCCTGCAAAATAAGGATGGCAAAGTCAAACACCGGTGTGGTGCCGGCCGTTGACCCTCCGACGATCAAGTCAGCAAGGATTCTCGATAGAGAATTTTAATCGTAATTTGCTTAGTAGGAGTTTTTTTTTTTTGTGTACCTTATCCCCGAGTCGTCTTTGTCTTTATAGTCACTTCCCTTATTCTTGATAAGGGAGTTCCATCGTCCTTAGCCCATGGAGCCTACCTCGTGGAAATCCTATCCTTGATAAGATTTGAACTTATCCCATGACAAATCCTATCCTAGCTAGGATTTGTCATCATTCTTATCTAATAGAATGGTTATCCTTAATAACGAGATATTATCGGCTGAGAGTTGGAGAAATCTGGTGGCAGGTCAATATTTAATTCCCTTTTTGTTAAGTCAAGATAGGCTAGGGTTATTTTTCCCTATCAGTTGCCCCCTATTTCTGGGTACGTGGTGGACCAAGGAAATACTTTCTATGTTCCATTTGTTTCCTTTTTACTACAGGCCCCTTCCATATTGTAGTAGGACTCCTTTACAAGAACTTCACTGTTACTTGAAAAAGAATTTTCTTTCCTATAAATAGATAAATATATATATTTATTTATTTACCTTCCTTTTCTTTTTGGTCTGAAATCCTCCAAACTGGATCCTAACTGTGAGTTTATTGTGGATCGTTGTAGATTCGTAATTAGGTCAAGTTGTCTCTACCAGGTTATTGGTGTAATTCCAAAGTGGTTTCGCTATTTTCGTGATATCCGATACCTCATCATGTTCGTGCAGAAAAATAACTTGAATACTGAATCTCAATCCAAGGAGTCAACCTCTGAAAGTGTTGAAGAACTCGATCATGACTATGCTGATGAATCTGGTGTTGATTACTCCTCAAGACCAAGGACTGCTTTTTCCAAGCAACCTCCTCGTGAAGGAGAATCCTTAATGAAGGATGAGAATTTACAGAGTTGTAGAGTTAAATATTCCATTCCTTCATCTATTCGTCTTCACAAACCCAAACCAGAAGATAGATGTTCTTCTATTCGTTTGGGTGAGGTATGTTTTTTCGAGTCGACTTTTGCTGTGGGCTTGCGTTTTCCGATTCACCCATTTGTAGAAGAAATTCTTTCTCATCTGAAGATAGCTCCTTCTCAAATTGCTCCTAATTCATGGAGAATTATTATAGGCTGTTTGATTGTTTGGGGAAAGTGTGGCAATGGCCGTCTAACAGTAAATCAATTCCTGCATTTTTATTATCCCAAGAAGAAAAAAGACAATTTTTGGTACTTCCAGTGTAGATCAAAGAAGACATTCCTCCTTGTCGCAACCCCTGAAAATAATAAAGGTTGGAAGAGTCGTTTCTTCTTTATTTCCGGTGCATACGGGAAATTTCCAACTATTTGGAATAATTCAGATCCAACAGGTAAGATTTATATGTATATAGTTTCCAAATTAATATTTTTTTTTTTTTTGGTACCCGAGGGAACAGTACCCTCGGGTACTGTTCATGAATAGGAATTTTTTTTTTTTTTTTTTTTTTTTTTTTTGTACCCAAGGGAATAGTACCCTCGGGTACTGTTCATGAATAGGAAATTTTGTTTTTTTTTTTTTTTTATAATTTTTTAGGTGCAACTTATTATTTTTTTTCCCAGAATTTAAGGACAAACCAACCCTCTCCATTCCAGAAGCCGAGCATGTTGGTAATGCCTCTTCTTACCCAATAAAGACCTTTAGCGATCTCATATCTGACGAGGCTTTAGATTTGTACGTACGAGCTCATAGCTCAAAGGAAACCTCCACCCACTTAGAGAAAGGTAAGAAAAACAAACATACTTATATGTGAACTTATTGATTTTTAGTTAATATGTCATTAAGTATTTCCCTTATTACTTTTCATGCAGGCAAGAAGCTCAGTAAAAGACTCCTAGCCCAAGTCCGGTCAAGTAATCTCCCTTCTACTCCTGCTTCCAAAAAATTACGAAGGGTAGGAGAAGGGAATCATGGTACATCCGCAAGCCCTGGAGTGTTATCAGGTCCTACTCTTGTACATCTAGGTTTCAGCGGATTTGGTGGGGTTCCTACTAGTTTCGAAAGTTTTTGTTCTGTATCAACCAACTAAGCCTTTTCCCACGGGGAATCGATTCTCGATGACGCTAATGTCGCGAATGACAGGTTACATAAAATGGTAGTAAAAGACGACACTGCCAGATTGCAGAGTCTGCCAGCGTCTGAGCTTTCAAAGAAATTTCTTCATCTAATCGGCCAGGTGAGATTTTACCCTTATTATGCGCATCTCTTTTTTTTCGTTTATTTATTTATTTATTTTTAACTGTTCGCCACTATTTATTTATTTATAGGGCACTACATACTCTGTTGTTATCGCCAAAGAATACGAGAAGCTTTCCTTAGAGATGGCTTCCCTCAAGGCTAAATATGAAGATGTTACTTCTACACTTAAAATAAAAGAAGATGACTTGACTAATGCAAAATTAAACTTTCAAGATGAGAAAGTGAAACTTACCAAAGAATACTCTGATAAGCTGGAATTCGAGAAGCTAGCTGCCGTGGAGAATTTTAAAAATTCTAATGAATTCAAGGTGCTCATAGGCAAGGCTTGCTGTGATGGTTTTGACCGGTTCAAAGCTCTTGTCGGCAAAGATCGTCTAGACATAGACTTTTCTAGGTATGACGTTCTAAGTGAGAGCGAAGAGGAAGATTGAATTCCATAGTATTAGTCATATATATATATATATATTAGGTTTTTTGATTTCTCAGTATGTTATTCCTTTAAAACTTTTCAGAATATCTTTGAATCCAGAGAATAGTTGCTCTACTTTTGTCTTTCATGGTATTGTTCCATACTTGTTGTTTCCTTATACAGAACTCATTTTACTTTCCCAGGCTTCACTCAGCCCGTCCTTCTTTCGAAGGAACATATTTTTACGAGCTTCACCCAGCTCGTCCCTTTAGTAAGGAAAAGTCACTTATTTCTTTTAATAAAGAAAGGGACTTAATGTGTCACTAGTCCTTATGTGACTTATAAAATTCAGTAGAAACACGTGCAATAAATACGAATAACCATTTTATTAAAGACCTATCGAAAATAATAATCGATAGTTGAATATTAGCATCCGTTACACACTGGTCTGCTTTATTGTAGCTGAAAACATTCTATCACTTTTAAAAGTGAGATAATAAAATAAAACACAGCCTGGCATGAGCACCTACTGGTAATATTTCCTCAAATGTTCTGCATTCCACGGGTGGGGAAGCTAGCTCCCACTAAGTGACTCTAACCAGTATGCCCCCGGTCTGTTGCTTTTGGTTACTCGATAAGGGCCCTCCCAATTGGGAGCTAACTTTCCATCCCCCTTTTCCTTAGTAGCCGGGGTAACCTCACGAAGCACCAGGTCTCCTGGCTCGAACCTCCTTGGCTTGACTCGGGCATTGTAGTACTTGGATATCATCCGCTGGTAAGCCGCAACCTTGACCTGGGCCTGCTCCCTTTTCTCTTCTACCAGGTCTAGGTTTAATCGTAGTTCCACTCCGTTCTGTTGAGGTTCAAAATACTTGGTTCTGAAGGTAGCAACCTTTGTTTCTACCGGGATCACAGCTTCACTTCCAAAAGCTAACCCAAAAGGGGTTTCCCCAGTAGGGGTTCTTACGGTAGTGCGATAGGCCCATAAAACTCCGGGTAGTTGTTCAGGCCACAAGCCCTTAGCCTTTTCTAGGCGTGTCTTGATCATCTTCAATATTGTCCTATTCGTGACTTCAACCTGCCCATTGGCTTGGGGATGGGCAGGAGAGGAGAAATGAACTTTAATCCCAAGTTCATTACAAAAATCGAGGAACTGCTCACTTTTAAACTGCTTCCCATTATCGGTCAAAATTACCCTTGGTGCTCCGAACCTGCAGATTATTGTCTTCCAGAAAAACTTTTTTACTTCATTCGCTCTAATATGAGCTAATGGCTCAGCTTCTACCCATTTGGTGAAATAATCGATAGCTACAATTACGTATTTAGTTTGTCCCTTCCCTTAGGGTAAGGGGCCGATGAGGTCTGTCCCCCATTGGGCAAAAGGCCACGGCCCTGTAAGAGGGGTTAACTTTTCTGCTGGTTGTTTTGGGACATTGGCGAATCTCTGACACTTGTCACATTTCTTCACAAACTCAAGTGCATCTGTCCTCATAGTAGGCCAAAAGTATCCTTATCGGATAGCTTTATGCGCTAGTGATCTGCCCCCAGCATGATTTCCACAAAGGCCTTCATGTATGTCCTTTAGAATGTAATTTGCCTCATCAATGGAGACACAACGCAAGTAGGGTAGAGAAAATCCCTTCTTGTAGAGAACCCCATCAACGAGGGAATATTTTGCCGCACGCATCCTAATCTTTCGTGCTTCCATGCGGTCCTGGGGTAGCTCTTCGTTCTCAATGTACCTGATAATGGGTTCTGCCCACTCCATGCCATAGGCCAGCTGGTGTATTTTCTGTGGCCAATCCCAGACCGTGCTAGGCTCATCCAAATATCCCACGGGTATGGCTTTATCTTCCTCTGTGGTTGCCAATCGAGCCAGGGCGTCTGCCTGCGCATTCTCTTCTCGGGGAATCCGGTGAATAGAAAACTTCTTTAAAAAGCCCTTGATATCCTCTATCTTATGTAAATAGGTCTTCATCTTCTCATCCTTGGCTTCATATTCCCCCTGGACTTGTCCAGTTATTAGTTGAGAGTCAGTATATGCTACTAGTCGTTCAACTTCCAAAGCTTTCGCCATCCTGAGGCCTGCTAGGAGGGCTTCATACTCTGCCTCATTGTTGGTTGCTTTAAAACCAAACCTGAGTGCATATTTGATGCATTCCCCATTTGGGGAGATAATTACTAGCCCTGCCCCACTTGCACGGGCGTTGACAGACCCATCCACATATAACGTCCAAGTAGATTCGGCTTCTTCCTGCTTATCTGCAGCATGCTTGGGCCCATCTTCTGGTGTGAATTCCGCTATAACATCTGCCAGTACCTGGGCTTTTAAGGCCGTTCGGGGTTTGTATTGGATATCGAACTCTCCAAGTTCTACCGACCACTTCATGAGTCGCCCTGAAGTATCAGGTTTGCGGAGAACCTGCCTAAGTGGTTGGTCCGTCAATACTATTATTGTATGAGCTTGGAAGTAAGGCCTAAGTTTCCTCGCGGAGATAACTAGAGCAAATGCCAACTTTTCTATCCTTGGGTATCTTTCTTCCGCCCCCCTGAATGCACGACTAATATAATATACCGGTTTCTGGTTTCCATCCTCTTCGCGGACCAAGGCTGAGCTTACTGCCGACGGAGAAACTGCCAAGTACAAATACAACTGTTCTCCTTGCATCGCCCGCGACAATAATGGTGGTGAAGTGAGATACTCCTTTAGCTCTATAAAAGCTTGCTCGCACTCAGGGGTCCATGAAAAAGCTTTCCTGACCACACGGAAAAAAGGCAAACACCTATCGGTCGCCCTGGAAATCAACCTGTTCAGAGCTGCGATCCTTCCTGTCAATCTTTGAAGTTCCTTGGTCGATGCTGGAGACTGCATGTTGAGAATCGCCTGGACCTTCTCAGGGTTAGCTTCTATCCCTCTTCTACTTACCATGTAACCGAGGAATTTCCCAGAGGAGACTCCGAAGGCACATTTACTTGGGTTGAGCTTCATCTGGTGTTTCCTGAGGACTTGGAACGTTTCCTGTAGATCAACCAGATGGTCTTGAGCTTTCAAGCTTTTTACAAGCATGTCATCCACATACACTTCCATATTCCTTCTGATTTGGTCCTTAAACATCAGGTTTACTAGCCGCTGATATGTTGCACCAGCATTTTTTAGCCCAAAAGGCATCACTTTATAGCAATATAAACCTCTGTCCGTGATGAAAGAAGTTTTATCTCTGTCTGGCGTGTGCATTGAGATTTGGTTATACCCTGAGTATGCATCCATAAAACTGAGCAGCTCATGGCCAGCTGTCCCTTCTACCAACATATCAATTCTTGGTAGAGGGAAACTGTCTTTGGAGCACGCCTTATTTAAATCCGTAAAGTCTACACACAACCTCCATTTTCCATTGGCCTTTTTTACCAAAACAACATTGGCCAACCAGTCGGGATAATGAACCTCCTGGATGAAATCAGCTTTCATAAGCTTATTCACCTCTTCTAATATAGCCATGTTCCTTTCCGCGGCAAATGTTCTTCGCTTTTGCCTGATAGGTTTGAATGTAGGATCTGTGTTTAATCGATGCTCAATCGTAGTTGGATTAATACCGGGCATGTCTTCATGTGACCAAGCGAATACATCTTGATTCTGTTTGAGGAACTGTATAAGAATATTTGTGAAATCTGAGGGGAGCAGAGACCCTATCTTCACCTTTTTTGTTATGTCAGTGTCATTCAAGCATATCTCCACCAAGTCCTCGATTGGCTTAGCCCGGTCTTGCTCATTCTCTTCAACTTCATCGACAATCAAAGCCTCCTCCTGTCTCTTTTCTTTGAGAGAGGCAACGTAGCATTCTCTGGCAATGGACTGATCTCCTCTTAGTTCACCCACGCCATGCTCGGTAGGGAAGCGCATTAATAGGTGATAAGTCGAAGTGATAGCCCTCATCGAATTTAAGGTCGCTCTTCCTAGGATGACATTGTAAGCAGATGGACAATCCACCACCAGGAAATCGACCATGACGGTGACTTGTTTTGGGCTGGTTCCTGCAGTGACAGGAAGGATGACTGCTCCTAGAGGATAGACTTTGTCTCCCGTGAATCCTACCAATGGTGATCTGGTAGGTCTGAGTTTCTCCTTACCAATCTTCATCTTGCTAAATGCATCAAGGAAAATGATATCAGCTGAACTTCCATTATCTACCAAGATTCGCCGAGTATTATAGTTAGCGATCATCATGGCGACGACAAGAGGGTCGTCATGAGGTTGCTGCACATCTTTCATGTCTTCATCTGAGAATGTAATAACTGGATCACCTAAACGAGGCATCTTTCGATGTTGAATCTGTACTCCCACTTCGCACACCTCAGATGAGCTTCGCATTCTCCTTGCATAGGCCTTACGGGCTGAGCTCGATTCTCCACCTCCTGCACACCCCCCGGCTATGACCCTGATCTCTCCTATTGGTTGTTGATCAGGAGGGTGGTTATCTCGGCCTGCTCTTAGTGAGTTAATGTCGGTTCTGTCATTCCCCACAATAAATTTTCGCATGTGCCCCCTTCGGACCAGAGTCTCAATTTGATCCTTAAGGTCGAAACAATCCTCTGTAGCGTGCCCATGGTCTTTATAGAACCTGCAATACTTATCACGAGGTCTCCTTGCCGGATCTGACTTCAACTTCGGTGGCCACTTCAGATATGGTTCATCCTGGATCTGTAGGAAAACTTGATCTATCGGCATATTTAAAGGAGTGTAATTTGTATACCTCTCCGTGTTCTTGTAGCGAGATGCCCTTTCATTCTGGTTGACCATGGGTTTCTTATACTTGGTTTCCTTTTCATCTCTGATCGTCAGGGCTGGCCTTTTCTTGTCTGACTTCTTATCCTCCCCTTCTTTTCCCTTTCTCGCAATCATTGCATCTTCAGCATTCATATGTCTTTTAGCTCGAACCAATAACTCGGCCATGTTGGTAGGAGGTTCCTCTGATAAAGAGAAGAGAAATCTTGAGGTTTGAAGTCCTCCCATGAAGGCGGCTAGGGCCACCTTGTCATCCGTTTCCTCCACCTGTAACATCTCCGTGTTAAAACGACTAATGTAATCTCGCAGTGATTCTCCCTTCTGTTGCTTCACAGTAAGGAGGTAGGTAGCCGGCCTTCTATGCCTCTGGCCAGCAATGAAATGGCCCACGAAGCCCTTACTCAATTCTTCAAAGGTTTCGATGGTTCCTGGCTTTAGTTTGTTGAACCATACCCGTGCTGATCCTTTAAGAGTCGTTGGGAAAGCCCTGCACATGATCTCATCCGGCATCGCGTGTAGGTGCATAAGCGCCTGAAAAGTCTCCAAGTGGTCGAGGGGATCTTTAGTTCCGTCGAAACTCTCAATTGTGGGCATTCTAAATTTGCTTGGCAAAGGGCATTTCATAACCGAGGGGCTGAATGGCAAATTGGTTTTCTGCACCAAACCATATGGCTGCAATGCCTTTTCCCTTCATGGCCTGCATCACACCCTCCATCTTTGCCTTGAGATCCTGTATCTCTAGGTCAACGTGGGAAATTTCCTCGGTTTTTTCAATGACAGTCGTGTCTTCATGGGGTCGGGAACTCCGTGGAAGAAAGGGGTGGATCACCTCTCTATGTCGGTTTCCCACCTGGCTTTGTTCAACTTCGGTCTCATGTCGGGGAGGATGAGTATCCTGCTCTTCCAGATTCCCATTACCCCTGTTTGGATTCGAGAGGTCTTGGCGTGGCAAGCCCTGTTGAACCGGTGGAACAAGGTGTTGCAGGAGTACTGCATTTTGTTGGATCAACTGGTCCATACCCTGATTCAGAGTTTGGACCTGCAGTTCCAACGCTGCAAATCGTGTCTGGTCATTTGGGACGTCTAGATTTTCACCCGACTCTTCCCTTTGACCAGATCCCTGCGACGGTGTTCCTTCGGTAACCATACCGGACCGCAAACGTCTATACCCAACGAGTAATAAATCGATTCAAGGGAATCGCTGTTCCCACAGACGGCGCCAACTGTTGAGGTTGAATTTCGCCGCGGTCTAGTACGACACCGTTTCCTGCAAAATAAGGATGGCAAAGTCAAACACCGGTGTGGTGCCGGCCGTTGACCCTCCGACGATCAAGTCAGCAAGGATTCTCGATAGAGAATTTTAATCGTAATTTGCTTAGTAGGATTTTTTTTTTTTTTTTTGTGTACCTTATCCCCGAGTCGTCTTTGTCTTTATAGTCACTTCCCTTATTCTTGATAAGGGAGTTCCATCGTCCTTAGCCCATGGAGCCTACCTCGTGGAAATCCTATCCTTGATAAGATTTGAACTTATCCCATGACAAATCCTATCTAGGATAGGATTTGTCATCATTCTTATCTAATAGAATGGTTATCCTTAATAACGAGATATTATCGTCTGAGAGTTGGAGAAATCTGGTGGCAGGTCAATATTTAATTCCCTTTTTGTTAAGTCAAGATAGGCTAGGGTTATTTTTCCCTATCAATTTCCAAACTCATCTGTAAGCTATATAAAAGGCTAACTCTATCCCACAATAGTCACCACATGCATCTATAATGGTAAAATTCATAATCTCACACATAGACGAAAAACTAAAAGTTCATTTGCATGATACATTGCATCCGACTACAGTCCCTAAACATAAGCTTACGAAAGAGATACAAAACAAGTTTAAAGTTTTACAAAACTTGTATATACAAAAGAAAAATTAACACAAGAAAGTCCATTTAGTCTTGTCTAAGTGTAACAAGGGTCATTTTATCCCACATCGGAATCGGATGGGAAAGAGATTGGGTATAAATGGGTGGGTATGCAGCCTTACCTAACAGTTCGAGCTTTTGGATAAATGGGCAAGCGTCCACCCGTTACAGTTGGTATCAGAGCCAAACCCAGTCCTTGATCCGGTGCCACACCAAGCGCCCGGCCCGGAAGGCGTCCAGGTGAGTCCACCCGGGTAGGCAGGGTGGCCCAACCGTAACGAGGGCGTTGCGAGTTTGGGTAGGGGAGAATGTAACAGGGGTCATTTTATCCCACATCGGAATCGGATGGGAAAGAGATTGGGTATAAATGGGTGGGTATGCAGCCTTACCTAACAGTTCGAACTTTTGGGTAAATGGGCAAGCGCCCACCCGTTACACTAAGCCTGTGGGGATTTTCTTTCGCCACATCCTTTCCGTGTCCTGAAAAATAAAAATAAGGAGTGAGCACAACGGCTCAGTAGAAGATGCCTAAAACGCACTCCTTAATGCCTCCGTGAATCCAAACAAAGAATAGCGATAAGAAAAAGGGTCATACTTGTTCGAGAAGTAATAATCATCACATAATACAATCTCGTAAATGCAACGGAATGCAATGTTAATGAGATGCCAATGTCTCTCCCCATTATCCAGTCACGCCCCGAAAATTCCAATAAAATCCTCAAAAAAAAATGCTCTCTTTTAGATAAATCCAATTTCCTCAAATATACATAAAACTCTCCAACTAAATAAAATAAATCCTACAACGCCGACTCTTCAGCCTAAGCCCGAATCTAGCAATCCCCATTCATCTTTGGTACCTGAAACTGAAGGGTGGTAAGACAAAAGTCCCAGTAGGAAAAACCATAACAAGAATTTCATAGAGGTTTAATAAAAACAGCTTCACAAAATATACACATTCATATGAATATATAAACAAAATAAATATGCATTTAATCAAAACATTTAATAAAAACCATTTGAAGCAAAACCACTCCAAGCCATTCAAGGTATAGAGAACCCTACACTGAAAAAGAATTCCTGCACTGGATCACCAAGTCCTCAAACCTTCAGCCTCCTCTATAGACTCTCAACTCTCTCTCTCTCTCTGTCCTCAAACTCTCTCTGTCTTCTCACGGTTCTATTTCTGCCTCCTCTAATTTTCTTATTTATTCTCTGTATTCTACATAGCAGTGCACACAACACACACAATTAAATAGGCTAACCACCGACTCCTCAACAAATGCTAACCACACAATCAAAACCCACATGAAGAAATCAAGCCCAAGTCAAAAAGTGAATCTGCTAAAATCTCATCATTTCACCTCCTTTCTTTTCATTCCTTTAATTCCACATACAAGCATCCAAACAGCCCACGTGAACTGTACCAAAGTCAAAGAAATCTACCCATTAAAATCACATGTGGGACCTGCGCCATTATCACATTACAATCTCATCTTTCTTCCCTTTTTCTCTCTCTAAGTCGGCTGCCACTCATTTTGCTGCCTATCAGACCAAACAAGAAATATATATATCACATATATAAATATATTCATAACACCAAACCAATTAACCCACAAAATATCATAAGTGGGACCCGCCCACCAAAACCACATTTCCATCTTTCTTCTCTCGGCACCCTCTCCCTTTTCATCTGATTACACACCCACACATGAATATATGTGTGTATATATATATATATAACATAATAATAATAATAATAATAATAATAATAAATCAAATAGCTTAATCATGAATTTCCAATTTAAAATAAAATAAGACAACTAAAATTTTGAAATAATTAAGTTAAAATCTTAAAAAATACCGGGTTATCACATATCCAAAATTTTATTGAACATTTTCCTTAAATTTCAGATTTTGCTTTCATTTCAAAAGCACAATCTTCTCCTTTTCAAAAATATATTCTGTCCCATGTAGTACCCAATGTAATGCATGAATGACACACTTCGTAGTCTCATAATGTCATTGCATTCCACATAAAAATTTTAGTTCTATACACCATGCTTTAATAACAAGTCAACATAGCAGTTTTTAAAACATAACAACTCAATCATTCATGCAGCAAATCAGCAGCATCACCAAGGTACTTTAAACATATACAAATTTTATTGATTTCAACATTAGTATCACTTTACACAATACAATTGAGCATGCAATTTTCAGTTTCGAACTCATCGAATAAAACCAACATTGAGGAAGCTTAAATTTCAGTTTCTAACTACACAATACGCACCATAAAAGAAGTTACAAATTTTAATTTTTGTGTAACAACAACAACAACAATCCTTACAACAAAATAGTCCCACATGTGAGGTAAGTTTAACATAAAATTTTCAGCTTGTAAGTTACAACAACCCAACCATTATAATTACTAAACTTTCAGTTTTATACACATCAACACATTCAACAATTTAAGGAACTCAGCTTCAATTTTTAAAGCACACAATGCATCATTAATATAGAAGCTAAAAATTTCAGCATTTCAATTACACAACATACTTGTAAAGAAAATTTAATTATAGTCATGCAATGCATGAGTATTACATGCTATTCAATGTCATGTTACAGGCTAATTTCAGCGTCAAGTATCACAACCATAATTCCAGCTTTAGCAACAAACTTATGAAGGCAGTTTTTAATTCACAACAACTCCACCAAGCTTACAACAAAACTATCCAATAGTTGAAGCAAATCAAACATGGAATTACAGCTTGTAAGCAACAACAACATAACCATTGAAATTATTAAATTTTCAGTTTAATGCACATAACACGACCAACATTTAGAAGAGCTCAATTTCAGTATTTATAACACATAACACATCATTGTTATATAAACTACAAAATTTCAGATTTAATTCACATATACATGCTTGTAAAAAAATTCAATTCTAGGCATATATTGGTTCAAAACTTAAGAGATTAATTCACAAGAGGTAAAGGAATTGGGGTTTAGGACAACTCCTACCTCAAAGAAGTTAGTCAAACCAAACAAGCCCTTAAGCCTCCAATTTTCGAAATTCCCTAAACCCCTTGCAATATTGGTCTCAATAAGAAGCTCTTCTCAAGCTCATCACTTCTTCATCAATGGCTTCATCAAAATCTCACTTTCATCTATCCAAAAACAAGCTTGAAGCTTAGAAGACAATAAGTGTATATAGATAGATATAGAATGAGAAAGTGAAGGTTTTGAGAGAGAAATGGGTTCTTCCGAGAGGAAGAGAGAAATGAAATGGTTTGGTCAAAATTTGACTTGTGGTCCATGACTTGCCACTTGTCAAAATGTAAATGAATTACACTTTATGATTAGTTACGCTATTGCCCATCTATAACTATTGAAACTTCATCTATGTCCCAATAAGTAGAAAAATTTGGTAACACTACAGTTCCACGGTGAGGCGGCAATGAACAAGGATCGAATGACGGCTGACCGGTAGTGACTAGTCTTCGAATCGGCAAACAAGAATTCCACTGGCGGTGAGGCTCGATGACTGTTCCGATGGTGGGTTTGTTGACAGAGGCCAACCACACAATGATGGAAATGATTTCTTCGTTGCCATTTATGTGTAAAAATCTCTATTTTTAAAATGGGCCTTTGGATTAGATTCACCTTAGAGACAATTTCCACTTCCATTTTTTCAAGAAATTTAAGATGGTTCATGTATGTCATTTGTGGTAAAATACATGAAAATACTATAACTGCTCGTGCGCAGGAACAAGATGAGAACTCAATGCCCAAAAGGCAAAGTGCAGCTAAAATAAAATACCAACACGAGTTACTAACTCTTGAAACAAAGTAAGTTGATCCAAGTGACATCAACAATGTTATAGTCAAAACCAGCTAACCTAAATTAGCAACATAACTAAAAGGATGATGATATTCACTCCTATAAAAAAAAAACAAGCGCATTGCAAGGGAAGAAGAACCAAAAGCTTCATAATAAAGTATCACAACTCCAAGCCAAATTCCAAAATCGTCTGCATCACAAAATAACCAAAATTCTATCAGATATTTTTTAAGAACAAATATAAAACTTTCAACTATGCTAACGGTTGGTGATTTTTTTGTGTCCCTGCTAATGTGTGAGAGATTTAAATAGGACAAAAGTATCCAAACACGTATAAGTTCAAACAAGGTTTACAAAGGAAAAACTATCAACTTTGTCGAAAAGACTAATTATGAAAAGGAAATTTTTAGTTTTGACATATTTCCTACACTTTCGAATTACTCCATAAACATCAAAGTGTTTGGAAAACTTACAAAAGATGTAAAAAAATCCCCTGTTCTACTTAAACAACTAATAACAATTCCTGTTAGCCCTTGGATTGAAACAAATAAAATAAGAAAAGTTCATGCTGTAGCTAGACAAATATCAAGACCCTGAATGAATGTAGGAATTACAGTAGATCAACTCAGCCTAAAAATTTGATATATTAGCAAGCCAGGACATCATTATACCACACACTGTGTTAGTTCGACATGTTCAAGTTTGGAATTAATACAGGAGTTGTAAACAATATACTCTTTCTACACAACTGATGCAACTAGCTAACTCAATTTTCTGAATAACTCTACCTACATATCTTTAATTGTGCCTCATCATGACCACCAAAGGCATAACTAAGTTGATTATTTTCTTCCTTCATTTGGCAACTATAATCAAGTTCATCATTCATTGATATGCAATAACTCATTCGGGAATTAATCTTCTCATATAGTCCCTACATAATTTTATTTTTTTTATAAAAAAAAGGTTCCTATAATAAGTACTCTCTTCCGGTATCCAGAAAGTACTGCACTTGTAGGAGGAGAAGCTATTTCCAGTCAGATGCCCATATGATTCGATTACTTATACTTGCAATCTCAGGGTGTTTATAATAACCACTGGTTGAAAAATAATGTACAAGTTAGATCTATATCTAGTCTACCTCTTTATAACATGGCCTACATACAGTAATCTGTAACTAAACCAACATAGAGAATGCTATATCATATATTTTCATAAGCAATATTGAGATCAAATAAATGCTGCATACACTAATCGTACCTTAGTCTTATATTGAGTTTGAAGTGGCTGAATTTTTAGCTTCTTTTTTTTTTTTTGAGAGGTTCCAATCTTGTGAACTAAGGACAAAACTAAGCCAAGATAGAATGATAAATAAGATCATGTCACTGCACCAGAGAAGCAAAGAAAAACTTCTAAACATTAAGTAGATACAAAATTAGAAGATACCTAAAAAATGTGTTTAATCGAAGAAAAACTAGACCAACAATTTCCAAGGACATAAAAGAAATCTCCCTTTTTCTTTGCCCCTCTTTTCCACTGCCTTAACAGAGTCCCCTGACTTTTAATGAAGAAGAGAGAGCGAAAGGTAAGCAAATTCAAGAGTGTAACTTTCAAAAATGAACAGAAGTAACTAAAAAAGAGAGAGAATTTAAAAGATGCAACTGTTTATATATATACAAAGAAAATGTTTATAAAATTAAAATATACAAATATACAAAGTAGTATGCAGTGCCAGGATGAGAAGAAACTTACATCAGACACGAAAGGGTGTTGTTTATACTGCAGAACTATATAACTTGTTGGGGACAACCCAAACCGGTTGGGGTACTGCAACTGGGGGTAACTTCCTGCTCTTCAAATTGAGAGGATAATAAGGTGTGAAACTGTTATCTTTCAAGTGAAAGATGCCATTATCGTGACCTGTATGGTTGCCTGCTACTTCATGATCGTCTGTGAAGTAGATGGAATTCTCCCTTAACTCTGGATAGTCACAAGTTGAGAGAGAAAAAGAGTGATTCAAACCCACAAATAATGCCCGATCACCCAGGCATTCCACAGACTCCCATTTATTTTGATCCAAATTCAACTTATAAACGTAAAATCTCAATGACTCAATAAAATCTCCGGTGTAATCTGTATTAACGAAATCCACTCGGTCCTCCTCTTGGTCGCTGTCCTGAGGGCCATCCCAATCAGAATGTCCAGCATTACCATAAAACCTGACGACAAACAAAATATCCCCCGAGGATTCCACAAGATAATATAAGTAACCGCAATATGGAGTAGATCTCATAAATTCTCTTACTGTCCCCAGTTCCAGAGGACTAGAAGAAGGATTGATCACTTCACGTTTTGGAGCAGAAGGATCGCTGAGATCCCAAGCTTCAAAATGTTGTCCGCCACTCATGGCATAAAAGCGTTGATCCTTGCTGAAATACATTATTTCTTGGTAAAAAAAACCGTCTGGTTCACCCAAGGCATGCCACCTCTCGTCCCCGAGTTCACAGAAACATAAATGTTCGCGATCAATAATCATGACGGTGCAGTTGTGATGGTCAGTACTCTTTTGGGAAAATGAAGAACGTGGTAGTGACGGGGCTGATGACATAGCAAACTTTTGTATGAAACTCTGACAGATATTCTCATGAATGAATCTATGATAATCTGAATCCAGTGAGAGCAACACAAAGTCTTTGATAAGAGAAGGAGAAGGGGAGAGGTAATTTGATTTTTGGACACGGAGACATCGTATATCATCCAAGGTTTCGTAGGGAGGGAGAGGGACATAGGGGAGATGTGGAGACTCTTGTAATAGTGGATTGAAGAGGTAGGGGCTGCAACTACGAGGGTGGACAAAGGCAAGCCACCCATGAGAGGAGCCAACACAAACCGCATCATCTGGCGTAAGAATCTCCCTATCCTGCCCCGGTATATACTGTTTCTTTGTAACCCTGAATCTTTTTTGCTCTGCAGGACTGAAGAAGTGAAAATAATCATGGTGTTTCGCAGAAAATGATTCATCTAACTTGTCATCTACATCAACCTTCGGAGGTAAAAACAACAACGGTGATGACAGTGATTGAGGAGGAAGGACAGGCAAAGAAGATCCTTTGTCATGAACTAAATCGGCTTTGGAAGAAGAAGAAAGACCACGATTGCACAAAGTCTGAAGTTTTTTTGAAGCCTCCGCGTGCAGAGGTCAAACGAACATCAACACCACAAGAGAAGTTGTGAAACTTGGACAGAGTCGAACGAGTCAACCATACCTTCAGCACAGTTCGGTGGCAATACAGCATCATATCAGCAAAGGGTAGGAAAAGTAGCCGCTGTTGTGCCTCTATGCTATGCTTCTTTCAATCTTTCTCACATTTATTTTTTTATTTTTTTATTTTTTCTGGTAAGCCATATTGGCCCTAAAATTTGAGGCCCGCAGAAATTACTTAGCTCCACGAGTGAGCCAAGCATACCGTCTCAGAGTCCTATCCAGTATCCACTCAAATTAACATTCATTATCTATCATTTTAATTTTTTATTTAAAAGAGATTAATTTAATACTGATTAAATAAAAATACTAATGGTATATTGATATGATATGACCTAAGTCACATAAAGCAGTAAGAGTATAGAGCTTGAACCTTCAAAGCCTAAATTTTTTTTCCAGCGTTATATGTTTTAGGATAAAGTGCATTAAATCCCCCTGAACTATTGGGGTATGTGCAAGAAACCCCCCATAAACTATAAAAGTTGTAAAAAATCCCCCTGAACATTGGGATATGAGCAAGAAACCCTCCAGAATTATAAAAGTTGCAAAAAAAACCCCTGAACTATTGGGGTATGTGCAAGAAACCCCCCTGAACTATATATTTTTTTGCAGTTTACCCCATCCGTGAGAATTGATTGACTGAAAGGGACGATGAAGTCGAGTAATTTGTGGCTGGGATCGGAGTGGTAGATATCGTCTGAGGAGTGTTTGGATAAGCCAAGGAATCTGTTGCTGGGATTGGTGGGTCTCCTATCATAGCTCCTTCATAGTCGTTGCACCACCTGCCAGATCTGTCGGCCATATATATCGCACTTCTCTGCACCGTTGCGTCAGCCCATCGTCGTCACCGCCTTGCACGCCGTTCAGCTCACGTTGCTCGTTGGTCCATTCCACCGTCCATTCCAAGCTCGCCGGCCCATTCCGCCATCTCCATAGCCGAGCACACTGCCGTCCGTGTTTCGAGCACACAACCGTCCACAATTCACTGCCGAGCCCCCTTGAGCTCGCCGCCGCCTCCACAGTTCACAGCCAAGTCAACCAAGCTCTCATCACAGCCAAGTCCTCCGCGCACAAGCCGCCATCATCCGAGACTGAGCCATCCCGCCGACCTCGGATTTCTTTGGTCTCTTCTCTCTCTCTCTCTCTCTAGCTCTCTGTTTTGGGTTTGTGTTGGGTGAAAAGCATCTTTTGGCAGAAGAAAAAAAAATGTAAGAAGTGTATAAGTTAAAATGACGCAGTGTGTTATAAGGGTAAATTAGTCATTCAAAATTTTTGGTGCCGGAAGCTGATGTCATGGGGGTAAATTGCAACAAAATCATAGTTCAAGGGGGTTTTTTGTAGTTCAGGAGGGTTTCTTGCAAATGACCAATAGTTCAAGGGGGTAAATTACAACAAAATCATAGTTCAAGGGATTTTTTGTAGTTCAGGGGGTTTCTTGCAAATGACCAATAGTTCAAGGGGGTTTAATGCACTTTACCCTATATTTTATATGTACTTATTCCCCTTGATATAATTATCATTTTAATTTATTAAATATTTTTTATAAATTATTTTAATATAAAAATATTTAAAGATAATAAGATATTTATCTACAATTGTTTTAATTAATTTATTATATAAAGTATTATATATTTTATAATTGACAATTATTTTAAAGCATTATATATTTTAACTCTGTCATTACAGAACTAAAAGTCTAAAAGCAATGTGTTATTTGACGTCTTGAATTAAATTGAAGATTCACAACACCAAAGTAAAAAAACGTTGGCCTTTTTTATTATCTAAAACTCTATCTAGGTTAATTTTTATATTCATAAACTGCTTTTATTTCTCGTGACTTTGGAACCTCATGGACTCTGGCCACGCCACCTATCTGCATGTCTCCACACCTTCGAGAATTCTATCTCTACCAATTGATATCTCTCCACACCTTCCACCTATCTGCATGTTTCCACACCTTCAAGAATTCTCTCTACTATTGTCTTTTAATGCTCCGTTTAGTTGAAAAAATGGACGGGAGTGAGAAGGGGAAGTATAGATGAGGCATCTCATAAAAAAATGTGTCCTCTCACAATTTATTTGATTAAATGAAATGAATAGTAAAAATTATGGATGGAATGCCACCCTTCTTTTTTTTTTTTTTTTTTTTTACTTATACTTTCTCTCATCCATCCTTCAACATACTATTTTAGTGAAACAAAACTTAGAACTCTTCCACTTCTAATACAGATAATTTTAAACTTAATTGGGAGTCTTTTAGCGTGATAATAACTGTAGTTCTGTAACAAACCATTATCCATCTGACCAAAATCTTGATACATTGGGATTTTGCAGTTATGGGCACCATTCTAACAAATTTTTGTGCACCCCTAACCGTGAAAATAAACCAGACCAATTATGTCAAAGTTGCCCCGAAGTTGCCCCCAAAACTCAACAGGTAAAAAATTTATATATATATATATAGTCGAACTAAAATAATTTTAGAGGAAAACAAGTTGCATTGTAGGAGAAAAGAAGAATTGAGGAGAAAGACTCAATTGTTCAAATCCTTGCTGAATCATCAAATTCTTACAGTAAAAAATAATTTTAGAGAGAAAAGAAGAATTGAGGAGAAAGATTCAAAAGAACAAGAGAATCAAATGCTGGTAAAAATAATAAGAACAATTGCAATTAAGACTAAATATAAAGTGAAATTTAATATTTTTAATAAAATATTACTATAATTAACTTATGCTACCAGTACAAGTCTTTTTTGCCACTTTGAATTCTCAAATGGTTTATAAATTCTGAATGCACATAATTAAACAAAAATAAATGATGCATGTATTTCAGGTGCTGTGATGAAAATTACCATTCACATTTATAATCCATAACCTAAAAATGAAAAAAGAATCCATTTCACATTATTTGAATTTTTAAACTGAACAGGATAAAATATAGGGCAAACTACAATGACCTCCCCTGAGGTTTGGCCTAATTACAACTAAACCTGAGATTTGCTATTTTTTTGCAAAGACCCCCCAATGTCAGATTTTGTTATGAATTTACTCCTCTACCCTCATTATTATATTATTAAAAATAATCAAAATATCTAGAAATAACAAATGACTTTTTTGCCCCCAATCACTTACCCATTATTCCTCTTTCCTCTCCTTCGCCACCAGTTTTCACATTACTGAATTTTTAGGGCTCTTCACCGAATTTCTTATTGTTGAAGCTCTCAGGCTCTCGGTTTGTCTTCATGTTGCTAGAATTCTCGTTGAGGAAGTGCTTGCAGGTCGAGAGGTTGTGGAAGCAGCGGACGACGGACTAGACGGCGGAAATTGGGCGGCGATGGTCTGGACGACTGCAGAGCAGCACTGGTTGGGTCCGATTGCGTGGGTGTGGTCGCGTGAGTGTGGTCAGGGACGGTGATGGAGAGAGGGACGCGCCATCTGTTTCGAGACTCAAAGTGCGTGTAGTCGTGTGAGATGTTGTTAGGGACGGTGATGGAGAGAGGGACACGACGCGGATTTCCCAGAGAGTAATGGTTCTGTCGGCGGCTGCGCGTGGTTGTGATGTTGGTGCTGTTGCCCATGGTCGTATATGCAAACCCATGAAGAAAAAGTCTCGATTTGGGGCTTTTCTTCGCCGGAACTGGAACAAGAATCAGAGAGAATTAAAGATGGGTGGGTGGGTGGGTGGGTGGTGGTTCACCGGAAAAATCAAGCTAAAACTCCAAGATTGATCAATCAAACCTCAAATCCATCCATATTGATTGATATGTACAAAATCAATATTTGTTTTCAAAATTAATCAAAATCAAACCCTAAAATTAATGCAATATATCATTACATTGATACAATATTGAATATAAATGTATATACATATATGCCAGCTAATGAGAAAAAGTTAAGAGGAAAGAAGACTAGTTTGCTGTTTGTAGGCTTGTTAACAGTTTGACCATTTGAGAGGTAGTCTCATGAGCATGTCATTACACAAAGATACGCTATTATGTTTTTTCTGGGGTTTGGTTTTGTATTGACATTTTGTGGATTGTATTGTGAAGGAATGGCTACCAGGAGATATGGGGTATCTGATTGTGGGTTTAGTTTCTCTGTGGGTTTGTTTGGCAGTGACGGCGGCTACCGGTGGAGTGGTGGTTGCTCTTGTTTTTAAGCATGATTTTTTTTTTGTTATTCCATATATTATAAGGGTAATATGGTCTTTTACACCTAGTTGATGGGCATTTTAGTCACTTCAACCAAATTTTCTAACAAAAATTATGGAAGGGAGGTCTTTGCAAAAAATTGCAAACCTCAGGGGGAGTTGTTGCAAAAAAATGGTAAAGTTCAGGTTTAGTTGCAATTAGGTCAAACGTCAGGGGAGGTCATTATAGTTTGCCCTAAAATATATCTTTTCCAGAATATAATATAATATGAATAGATCATCCCAGGGAGTAGAAATGGCTGGATTGTCAATAAATAAAAACAGTAGGGTATCTTCGCACAGCTCAGATGGACAATGGAACTGGACCAGAACCTTTTTTTTTTGACGTCTCTAGCCTCCCACCGCCTAGACACAACCGAGAAGACCTTGGACAATGGCCACCTTCTACTACCAAAACCTTTTTTGACCACTCTCCTTCAGCACATTGGTCTAAATCTATGCTGAGAAGTAAAAAGAGTGCAGGGACACAGCAAAAACCGAAACATAGCATAGATTTTGAATTAGACAAACAAGATTAGTGGAGTTCTCCTCCAAGGTGAGGGACAACCCAAATAGGAGAAGCTTGAATCTCCGATCTCAAGTCTAACTGGTATAAGCTCTTATCTTCCAAGGTAAAAACCCCCAAATCTGAACATCCCCAAGATTTATCATTAAGATGTTTGGGAGTGAAGTAAATAGAATTCTTTCTGAGTCCCCGGGAAATCATGCCTGAGAAAGAAACAGAGTGATTTCGGCCAATAAACAATACTCGGTCGGCCAAACTTGGCACATGAACCCACTTGTTCTTCAACAAAGTCCCGCTTATACACATCAAATTTACAAGTCATAATGTTGTTATCAAGGTCATCGACGCGATCACCCCAATGCCTAATAATCATCAACAGATCCCCAGAAGATTCCACCAAATACTTTGTGTTATCAAAATTAAAGTGTGGCGGCACAATAGAAATTGCACAATATCTCTTTGGAGAAGAAGGGTTGGTGAGATCCCAAGGTTCTAATGAACCATGGTCACCCAAAGCATAAAAAAGTTTGTTCTTGCTAAAACACTAGAGATCAGCGTAGGAGTCCTGTAATGGCAAATGCAGTGCAGTCCATTAAGTGTCCCCAAATCTGCAGCAAGCAAGTTGTTGTGGGTGCTCATGTTCTAGGATGGCCATAATGGTGCAATGAGAGTCTTGGTCAACATTCTGATAGTTGATTGGAAGAATATGGGGTTGGGGCTGAGGACATAACAAGCTTACTAAATAACTTCTTACTCAGGTCTTTAGTTGATATGGGTAACATCTGTTTCGGTATCATAAACTCTGTAACAACAGAGGAAGAAGAGGAGTAGGAGGAGGAATCAATGTGCAAGCCATTGAGACGTCGACTTGACATAACCATAGGGAGGGTTTCAATGGGAGGGAGGGGAAGTTAGGGCATGGAAGAGTCGATAAAGGGATTGTAGAGATAGAGGGAGCAATTTCGGGGATGGATATAGGCAAGTTAGCCATGAAAGTAACCTATACAGATGGCCTCATCATGCGAAAGGTGTGAGTTGCACAATGCGGAATGGTTGTGGAATATGATATGGATTAGCAACCTAGAGGGGTGAATAGGTTCAACTTGCTCTTTTATCCAATTTTTGCTTAAATTAAATTTACCGAAATAAACTAAACAAAAACCCACAAAGCAGACAATAAAGTGCAAGTAAAATAAATAAAGTTTAAGATATGACACCAGAATTTTTAGGAGGAAATCTCGATTGGCAGAAGAGACCAATCGTTATGGTAAAAACCTAGCGCACTACGCCGTCCAGAGTAAACCGATCCACTATATTTGAAGCAAAGTACATCTCACTTTGACTCAAGCTCATACCCAATCGTTCTACCAAAAACCAATTGCTGATAAACCTAGCTTTGCGACTCCCTCATCCAACAGCTCGACCTCAGATTTACTCTTGACCTCTATAAAAGGATTGCTGGTAAATCAAATAACACTCCACGAATGCTTTGACTACTTCAAAGTGTGATCGCTTCACCCCTTTTTTCAAATCAGATTATGATGTAGAATGAATGAATTTTGCTTTCTCTTATCAATATTGATGATATCTTCAAACTCGTAGTCCAATCAGAATAAAAACACCACGTTAAATCACTCGTGTGTATGCTCTGAATGAAAAATACTGAAAAATCTCACAAAGATGGCTCTCAATTAAATCAGAATTTTGTATGCAAAAAACCGTAAAATCCTAAGTGAGAAAATATATTTTTATAAACTTTTGAAAACCTAATTGAACTTGGAAAACAAGTCAATTTCGTGCATGATCATTATTGTAAAGACCCAAAAGATACCAAAATAATAATAATAATAAAATATATAAAAATTTCGGTATGACCTCCGCAGAAAAAATCCCTCTATAACCTGTTGAAATACATAAAAATACAATGGCCTCACTAGACCTTAAAACTAATCTATCATGTCCCAACGCACAATACAAATATTATACTATATTCCTAAAATGATTACATACATATCAAAAATCTCGTTCTTCCATCTCATCCAAACAAGGAACACCTTAGTTACACCAAGTTACAACCTATAAAATGTAGCTAAAATTTAATAGTCCATAACTTACAACATTATACCAATTAAACTAAAGTTCCCCAAAATGGTTAAGATTACATTACAAAATATTAGAGTTCTAATACAACAGATAGCAAAATAAAATAGATTTTCAAGCTCGTCTAAAATTGTGGTGGATCGTCGTCCACCACCTCTTTTCCATGTCCTGAAAAAGGTTTAAAATAATGGGGTGAGCATAAGCTCAATAGGAAGTGTCTAAGACACTTCTTATATCCCCGTGAATCCATACAATGAATAGATAAAAAGTGAACGTGATCATGCCACAGGGAAACACACATTCTCAATCACAACAACAAGTATGTAACAAATATCAACCAATCACAAGTTTACCACAATGTCATGAAGTGCAATATTATGCAAATGTCACTCCCCATTTACTGAAATATTTCTGTTTCAACTTCCAAACCGTTAGTGTAATCCGACCCAAGGCACCTCCAAGGCGTCACGAATGAAGGGTTGACTAACTATCCACGACCACAAGGCACCTCCGAGGCATCGTTTCCAGCCTAGTTAGCTCAACCATACTCTCTTCTAGACTACACTAACAACATGGACCGCTAGGCGCCTCCTAGGCGTCCGGTTTTTGCAAACTCCCTTGAAATATATATATATATATATATATATATATATATATATATATATATATATATATATATATATATATATTTTCCAAGAACAAATTCATTTATTTTAAAACATTTTTTCCCCTTATTTCTTTCCCAATATATATATTTTCCAAGAACAAATTCATTTATTTTAAAACATTTTTTCCCCTTATTTCTTTCCCAATGAATGCATAAATATTTCATGCTTTTAAATGCCAATTAAATACTAAAATTTACACACATTTCATCTACATCATCATGACATTCTTGATAAGAAGGTCTAGACATTTATTTTCATAATTATAACATAAACTTTTATAACAATTAAAATAGTGAAACAAACCAACACCAAGCATGCTTCTTTACAAATTGAAAATCATCATACTAATAATAAGTCCAATTAACACATAACACAAATTTATCACCACAAATACAAATAACCCTAACAAACACAATCAAAAGAAATTAAAATTAAGCATGCTTAAAGTAAAATTAAAGGGGAAAATTCACAAGAAATCCAAGAAATAGTGGATTAAAGCACCCCTACCTCAAATTTATAGAAAAACCCTCAAAATGGGTCTCAAATTCAAAATCTTAGGGTAGGCCAAAAGCTAAAAATGTTTGTACTCGCGCAGATCACGCTGTGCTCTTTGATTTGCCGTAAACGGCACCCAAAAACTCTAAGTGGTTGAAGAGTAATCAAATATAGAAGTTGAAAAAGAAAAAAGAAAGAAAAGTTTTCTTTTTTTCCAGCAAGAGAGAGAGAGCTGGTCTGTCTTCTGCCGAAGGTAATGGCTTTAGCCATTACCAATGTTTTAATATATCATGTGGGCCCCACCATTTATTTTATTTTCTTTTATAATAACTTTAATAACATAAACATATATATATATATATATATATATATATATATATATATATAACAACTCACAACATTATAATTATAGTAAAAGTCTATGCAAAATAGGAAGCTAAAACAGAATAGGAAACAAAGGGTTTGCTTGGTTTGTAACTATGGAAACAGTTTTCTGTTCTCGGAAAACTGAAAACTATATAAAAAATTCTGCTTGGTTCAATTTTCTTTAAACTGTTTTCTGAAAACTCAATTATAAAAATGTCTATTTTCAGAGAACAATCTTGTATAGTTCTCTAAAAACTGTTCTCTATTTTCTGAGTTTCTGAGAACTATTTTCAGAGTTACAAACTAAGCATTTCCAAAGTTTTCAAAAATATCTGTAAGACTTGTACAACAAGTTTTTGATACTTGAACCGGTTCAAATTAGCCACACTTGAACTTTGAAAGCAATCCTTAAAAGTTGAACAGATTCAGAAAAAGTTGAACAGGTTCAAGTTAGGTAGAATGAAAAACTTAGAAAATTTTCCCTAAAAGTCTAATTTTGAAACCATACATGTGTCTTCACACACTCACTTACCTTCCTTATCATCACGGAGTGCATCATGAGTATGAACACGATCACTTCTTCAAATCCGCTTCCGATCTTGAATCTTGGCAAATCAAACCGAAAATCTACAACTCTATTGGACTCCTTTTGACAACAAAATTTGTCAATTACAAATTAATATCTCACAAAAGGTGATATATATTAAATATACGAAAATGCTAAAGATTTGTTGTAAAATAATGCTAAAGATTCGTAATCTATTATGCATGTGTAATTTAGGGAGTGGACCGAGAAGATGCTTTTTCTCACGAAAAATGAATGCAAATGAATTTAAAAACAATTTATTTCTTCTTATCTTTTAACTCTTCAAGAGCCCACCCATCAAGGAATATATTTTGTCTTTGATCAAATACTTTCTCAAAGTGGACTTCCTCCACAACCTTTGGTTCTACTTCCTTCATTATGCGAGTATATATATGTGAATCTTTTAGTTGGAAAAAAGTTAAATACAACCCAAGTTATTTCTCACCTAACTATTCAAACTGCATAACCAAGTTAGGGTTTATTAAACCAGACGAATTGCGCAAAGCAAACAACTCCGCCAGTGAAATAATAAAAATGTAATGTCTGAGTTTTTTTTTTTTTTTTTAATCTTTTAGTTGGAAAAAAGTTAAATACAACCCAAGTTATTTCTCACCTAACTATTCAAACTGCATAACCAAGTTAGGGTTTATTAAACCAGACGAATTGCGCAAAGCAAACAACTCCGCCAGTGAAATAATAAAAATGTAATGACTGAGTTTTTTTTTTTTTTTTTTTTTTTTTTTTTTTTAAAAAAAAGGAAAAAGAAAAAGAAAAAAAGGTCATCTAACTAAAATGAGAATGTTAAGATAGTAGATAAGAGTAACTAGTAGAGATGGGAGGGAAAAACTAAAGATGACACTTATTTTAGGATAAAATAAGAGAAAGTAGACTTAGATTGTATGGTCATACGCAACGAAGACCCATGATGCACCAATAAGAAAAGGAAAGTTTGTTTGCACAAAAGATGAGAGACAGAGACCGACCAAAACTTCCATGGTATGAAGTAATTAGAAATTATTTTTTAAAATTAAATATAATAAGAGAAATAACTTGCATTAGACTAGAATAAAAAAGGAAAATTCATGTGCCCAAGCTCATCTATATGGACTAAAGTAAGGATGAGGCTGAATTACAAAAAAATGTAGCTAGACTAAATTTTACTTATGATTATGGTAACAGGTGAACAACTGGTATCTAATTAGGCACCAGAACGTCCATCATGTATACAGACCAGGTCGTCATATCCCTGTATAAACCAATCCTAAGAGATGGTATCTAAGTAGGCACTAGAACGTCCATCATGTTTACACACCAGGTCGTCATATCCCCCTGTAAAACAATCCTAAGAGGTTGAAATGTAAATTACCATATAGTACAAATCATTTACAAAAACCAACAGAAGCAAATTTAGTGAATGGAACTTCACCAAGCAACAAACTGTCTTAAGGCAAGACAAATCCAACTAGTGGAATCAATGAAAGTATTCCATAATGGATATTAACCACACATTAATATATCAGAGCGTACAACGATTAGAAGAAAATAAGATGCCAAACAGACATCAATTTATTACCAAGTTTGATACATATATATGTGTGTGTATATACATATATTGGAATAGCAAACTTAAACATAATATTAAGTCCTTATGAATGTAACTTCACCTAGTAAAACCTGTACAAATGCAAGACACAATCCGTAGAATTCCCTAACAGATACAAAACTAATGCTTCTAAACCAGACTGCCACAGTAATTAGAACATAATGTGATGCCAAATGGGCATCCCCAGAACAGCATTTTACCAGGTTCATTATATACGTGCAATTATATTAGTAATGTTAACCACCATCTAGTCTAAAAGCTTAGGTTGTTAGAGAGGGTGTAAGTGTAACTTTCATATTTAAATCCTTTAACACACCACACACCTTCTTTTGGTCCAACACTTGTTTCAATTTTAACTGTCAGGAGGAAGGTGAGGCTTAAAGTACCTTGCCAGCTCTAATGCTATGTTAACAACCATCTATTCTAAAAGCTTAAGTTGTTAAGAGCATAAAATGCATACCAATGCTTGAGCTATACAAAAACTAGTTAAAAATTTCACCCGACTTGAGCTATACAAAATTGAGTTTTCACCAGCAGCATCAAGACCATAAAGTTAAGATTGAACAAGATTGAAGGATACTTTTAATGATCATCACAATGCTTCTTATGCGGCCAATTTGACACACAAATCCAAAAGATACATGAAGCCTATTAATAGGCATCGTACATCTTTGAGAAACGAGTTACTTATTAGAAATATTAAGTATTGATTTTGCAATATGAATATGGGCGGCGTCTGAAATAAGAGGGCTAGAAACACACAATCTCAATACTTGGGAGACCAGTGAAGAGGACAAAATACTTGAAAATTAAATACTTCATAAAAATGGTTAGATCAAATAGGTTTTATAGACTTGAAATCATGTATCTAACCAAATACATGATGAAACATTTAAGTTTTTAACCACTACCTCCATTAATATGATAAATGATGTACCATGTGCCTAGAAAGAATTAATAAACACTAAAATCAAGTTTATTTTCTAACATGCAGCATGCCAAGAAAAATTGAAGTGAATGAAGTTATATAAAGTTCCTAAATAGTCATAAAGCAATGATTGGAAAGCGGTTATACACTCCATTTCAGTATTAATTGAAGGCAATATTCCAGATGTTCAAATCAGGTACATAGGAAACTCAATAAAACAAATTGAAGTCCCGATACTTATAGGCTACCAAAAACCCTTCTATGACATCCCGATCTATCTAGACCACAAATCAGTTTAATTAAAGACTAATATTTTAGAAAAGTAAATCCAAATCAGCAGAACAAGACAATCACAAAAATAAATGATAGGTTCTGGTCAAGATTACCAACTAGCTATAATAAAGATTAAATGCCCACCAATAACTTATCAAGTTTCATCTTTAATACACGCAACAGTATTAACAAATTGAAATGAAATAGAAGCAATCCTCATATATACATATATTTGCCAGTTAAAAATTCATAACCATAGGCACAACAAATTTAGAATGATAAGATTTTAAACAAATTAGCAGAAGAAGTAACCTAATTGGCAATTCCATAAAGTTAAGCTCGGGAAAAGATAAACATCACAACGAAAATTATATATATAATATCAAACTAATTCGCAATGCTAGGATGAGATTAAAGTTACCTCAGAAAGGAAACAAAAACACAAAAGGGTATTGCTTATACTGCGTGTGGAGGGAAAAATCCCCCTCCAATGAAGGTCATCCACGTGGCTATAATTAAAGCTTTGTTTTTATTTTATTAATGGGCCACAAGAATCCAGCCCTATTCAGGCCCAAAAAAGACGTCAACAGCCCAGGGTCACTAATGATGAACTTCCGGCCCAAGTTACATTCAGCCCAACTTCAGTTAAAGACGGACCAGTCCCGCTAGACAAAGGATTCAACAAAGAAGGCAAGTTTTGTGCAAGGAAAGTTTTGCATGGAAAGAATTGTAGAAAGGAAATAATTCTAATTGTAAAGAATGTTGTATATGGAATGAATTAGATGACAAGCAAGGCGAGTCCTACCATAATTCCACCACCTTGTTTCATATAAATAGAGGCCTAGACCTCCAATAAAAGGATCGAGCAATATACGTGTTAGAGTTGCACTGCACAATCAACCGAATTTGATTCCAGTTGTTGTGGCAGAAACGCAAAATAACAACGCACTGTTCGAGGAATAATCAAGCAATCACAAAGAAAAAAAAATAAAATCACACACAAAAACACAAGATATACATGGTTCACCTAAATCTTAGGGCTACGTCCATGGAGCACACCGAACAAATTCACTATGAAAAAGATAAAGAATTACAAGGAGAATTCTCTCTCTATCTCTCTCAATTGCTCTCTCTTGTATTGGTACAAATTTTTCTCTAACTTTCTCACCCTATTTATAGAGTCCCCAAACTTGTCCTACAAAAATTTGCCTTTTGTAGAATCCAAAACTAATAAGGAAGTTAAATCAGATTAGGAAACTGAATTTTCCTTAAACCAATTAGGAAGTCAAATCAGATTAGGAAACTGAATTTTCCCTATCAAATTAGGAAACTGAATTTTCCCTAAAATTCAGTACTCTTAAAGTTTCCATATAATTAAATCTTCCTAAAAATCTTCCACCTAATTAGACTCCACAAAACCACAACAATCTCCCACTTGGAGTCTGGAGCACTTGTAAACACATTTCATCTTCTTCTCATGCATGTCTCATACATGTCGGTGCGCTTCTTTCTGTCTTCAAGCTAGAAGACCAACTGAAGTTGCGCACAACTTCAGTTTCTCCATGGTCCCTGTCTTGGTCAACTTGTCAGCCGGATTCTTGGTGCCAAGTATTTTCTCAAGTGTCAACACCCCATCTTCTAACAAAGATCTAATAAAGTAATACCGAAGTCCTATATGCTTGGTCTTTGAATGAAATGCTGAATTCTTTGCCAGATGTATCGCACTCTGACTATCACTGTGCAAAACATTCTTCTCCTGTTCGAATCCCAACTCTGTCAACAAACCTTGTAACCAAATCATCTCTTTACTAGCCTCTATCATCGCCACATACTCTGCCTCTGTAGTAGATAACGCTACAATCCTCTGTATTTACGAAACCCAACTAACTGCAATTGTACCCACTATGAACACATACTCGGTAGTACTTCTTCTGTGGTCCACCTCGCCAACAAAGTCTGAATCTACATAGCCATTTAGCTTCACTTCGCCCCTTTTGAAACATAGGCATCTGTCTGTGGTACCCCGTAAATATCTCAATATCCACTTTACTGCTTCCCAGTGTAGCTTGCCCGGATCCTTCTTGAACCTGCTTACTGCTCCCACTGCATATGCAATGTCTGGTCTTGTGCACACTATGGCATACATCAAACTTCCAATGGCTGAGGCATATGGAATTTTAGCCATAAAGTTTTTCTCATCTTCTGTCTTCGGACACTGATCTTGAGATAATCGGAAGTGATTAGCTAAGGGAGTACTCACCGCCTCAGCATTTTTCATATTGAACCTCTTCAGAACCCGTTCAACGTACTCAGCCTGAGACAACTGCAAAGTACCTTTCTGTTTGTCTCTGCTAATCCTCATCCGAAGAATCTGCTTCGCTGCACCAAGATCCTTCATCTCGAATTCACTAGACAACTGCTTCTTCAATTTGCTGATTTCTTCAAAATCAGAACCTGCTACTAACATGTCATCAACATAAAGTAGAAGGATAATGAAACTTGACTTAAACCTCTTGAAGTAGCAACAATGGTCAGCGTTGCATTTGTTGTAGCCATGTCGTTTCATTAAACCATCAAACTTCTTGTACCACTGCCTCGGGGCTTGCTTCAAACCATATAAGCTTTTCTTCAACTTGCACACTAGTTTCTCTTGCCCTTTGACTAAGAAACCCTCCGGTTGTTACATGTAAATCTCCTCCTCAAGGTCACCATGGAGGAAAGCAGTTTTGACATCTAACTGCTCAAGGTGCAACCCCTCTGCTGCAACAATGCTAAGAACTGAGCGAATGGTACTCAGTTTCACAACCGGGGAAAAAATGTTTGTGTAGTCAATGCCTTGCTTTTGCTGAAAGCCTTTGACCACCAATCTCACCTTGTATCTCTTGGAACCATCGTGTTCCTCTTTTACCCTGTACACCCATTTGTTGTGAAGAACTTTCCTCCCCATGGGCAACTTGGCTAGTTCCCATGTTTTGTTGGAGATAAGAGACTTCATCTCATCTTCCATTGCAAGCTCCCACTTGCTAGCATCATCAACTTGACATGCTTCATCACAGCATTCAGGCTCACCATCATCTGTGAGCAACATATAATCCAAATATTTCTATTCGGTACATGAGGTCGCGTAGACCTTTTGGGTGCAGGCATAGGAGTTGGAATCTACAGTGAAATATGCTCTGTGAGTTCTCGCCAAGAACCCTCATCTGTCTGCTCCGCATTAATGCTCTCTGGATCATCATCCAACTTAACAAACTCAGGCTTACTTTGTACAGGACTAGTTAACTGTGCTGCATCTCTATCCTTGTACATCACCTTCTCATTGAAAATCACATCTCTACTTCTAATGATTTTCTTGTTCTGATTATCCCAGAGTCGATAACCAAACTCATCTCCACCATACCCAACGAAGATGCATTTTAATGACTTGGGGTCGAGCTTTCCTCTAGCATGGTCACTAATATGCGCATATGCAATACAACCAAAAACTTTCAACCATGTTGAAAGATTTACCTCTTTGCCACTCCG